TTGTGTCACGGGGCGCGTTTTGCAGGTCCCTTTTGAGCGGATGTGGTATTATGGTGCATGGAGGATTGATTGGTGATGGACGAGTTCTTATGGTGAAGGGGTAAATTGTAATGAGTGAATGGGTCGTTAATCGGATTAACTAGGTATAAGATAGTTAGTGTGGACCGGCCTCAAGCCCTTCCCATTTTCGGCCGTGTGCCATAATTATGTACGTAATAAATATTGAATCGGGAGTCATTCGGCGGACTGCGTGCAATAGAGCTGGACGTACGAATTGACAGACGGAGAAAGAGAAAGAGGAAGTCGAAGTAGGCGCGGCCGAGTTGGTGTCTGTTTCCAAACTGTCCAGTGTAACGGCTGAGAAAGAGTCACGCAATCCATTTTCTTGAGGCGACCAAAGAAGAAAAAACAGTTGGCCTGCCGGCGAACACTCCACTTTTTGACCCCACCTCGTCACCATTGTTTTTTCTACACATATACCAAATACTAATAAGATAAAGACGAGTGCCTTTCCTTGGCACATTAGAGAGAAAAAAAATGATATCGACGACTGAAACAGGAATTCAATTTCTGCTTGTTCATTTTATAGTAGTAGGCTAAGTTTGAGCAGTTCCATCAGATTCTTGTGGCGTATCTTGTTAGCAATCTCGATATATCCGGGAAAGATATCAGAATAATTAAGAACCTATACTGGCAGCAAACAGCATGCATGCGCATAGAGAACGAGTTCAGTGAATATACAAAAATAGAAAGGGACGTAAGGCAACGATGCGTCTTCTCACCCGACCTGTTCAGCCTATACAGAGAGGCAATTCTGAGAGAATTAGAAACCCTACCGGGATTTAGCATTAGCAGCGACAATCTTAACATAAGGTACGCAGATGACATAGTACTGATAGCAGACACAGAAAAGAAATTACAAAATCTCCTACAGAAGGTAGCGACAGAGAGTGAGAAGAAAGGACTAAGTATAAACTACAAGAAGACAGAGTGTATGGTCGCCAGTAAGAGGATGAGCCCGAAATGCGATTTGAAGGTCAGGAACACTAGAATCAAGCAGATGCGGAAGTTTAAATATCTGGGAAGCGTTTTGATATCCGTAGACGTATTGGGATGGCCAAGGACACATTTCAAAAGCTGGGCATTGCAATTTCCTTGGTAACAAAGAAAAGAATACTGAGCTCTTACGCGACACCTGTCCTTCTTTACAGCAGCCAATGTTGAACGATTTCCTCAAAGATGAAAAAGAGATTCGAGGCGACGGAGATGTGGTTCAACAGAAGGATGCTAAGGATATCATGGACCGAGCACGTGAGCAACGATGAGGTCTTAGAGAGGTTGCAAACAAGGAAGAGGCTTATACTTAATATCAGGAAGAGGCAGCTGAAGATTCTGGGACACGTAATGAGGAAGGAGGGTCTGAAGAATCTGATACTCACGGGTCGAATAGAGGGAAAGAGAGACAAGGGAAAACAACGCATGACATATCTGGCAGATTTAAGTGGATGACAGAACGTGGTCTGGGGGAGGAAGCAGAAGGAAGGAACTTGTTGAGAGCTGTAAGGGATAGAGGGAGGTAGAGAGCCATGATCGCCAACGTCCGGAAAGGACATGGCATATAAAAAGAAAGAAAGAAGGCTAAGTTTAATAAATGAAATAAGATATTTCTTAAATCCCCTGAAAATAGGGAGAAATATCATGAGCATATTTGAAAACATCATTTAAATAGTTTTTTAATTAAAACAATATAAATTATCAAAAGGCTTCCGGTCATATTACGATAGAATGGTGATAAGATAGTCAAAAATATATATATATATATATATATATATATATATATATATATTTCCTCACCGCTATCACAACTCCGAGTTTCATGCACAACGCAATTTTCAGTTGTTGTATCTGACAACATGTATTTATACCCAGAAGTAAAAATATTGTTACGTTTTTCAAATTTAACAACGTTCATTAATATTCTTCAGGCTAACTGTGCACGTCAAAGTAAATTATGGGCATGATAATTGATGTACTTTAAATTGCACACACACACACACACACACACACACGCACACACACACACGCACACACGCATAATTGTATATTTAGGCAGCAATCCTTCATTTATACATGTTTCATTAAAGACGACAGACAAGATAATGCGATTAAGTTTTTTTATTTAATTTTTCTTGTGTTCGAACAAATGTTTTCTTTTCTGGACTTTGAATATGAAGAAGTTTCCAAATGTTTTGTAATTCCGAGCATTTTCAGTTATAATTTTAGCCATTATCAAGGATGATTTTATTTTTTTGCCTTTTAACTGGGTGTATGATTTGTGTGTATGTTTATAGAGTTATCGGGATGTTTTATTTTCCGAACACAGCACATTGTGGCCGTATTCGTAGTGAATATTATTGAGTTTTGGCTTTTTTCTTTTTTATTATTAAGGCTTCCATTATTTAAAATCTTTTTTTTACATGTGGATGAGTTTTTATGTTTGCATTTTCTACTAGTATATTTTCTACTAGTATATTTCGAATGGTTTCTAATGGAGTTGTGGTTGGTTAGGTATAACGTAAAGGGTTTAGATAGACATGTGTGAACGATATAATTATTTATGAATTCTGTTTGATCAGGAACATAGTTCCTAAAGGGACATTTGAACTCGTAAATAATGTTTGTTCGTTGAAATTTTGATTTTGCGGGTGTGTTATTACATTTTAGGATAAGGTTAGTTGTTTTAAATTTTTTGTAGTAGATAATTTGATTTTTTTGTTCGGGTCAATTGGGGTAGTATAATTATTTACGATATTTCTAAGTGAAGATTCATTTTGTTTGTAGTTGACGTGCATTTGGTTTTTGTAAAAAATATTTGTTATTTTTGACTGTGTGTTCACTGTCATTATTTACATTGGGAAGAAATAGTCTAATCTGGTGGTCTATAAGGTGATTAGGGAAGTAATTGTTAACTAGTGTCTGCTTTGTATTATTGAGTTCTTTAAGGAAGAGTAGACGAGAGGATGAATTCTGGTGTGCTCTTTTTAGGAAGTTTTTTTTTTATCACTGCTATTTTGTATCTGAGTGGATATTCACTCTTAAAGTTAAGGTGGCAAGAGTTTCTGCTAGTGGGGGTTTTATACAATGAGGTGCTAAAAGTGTTGCTACTGTATTCTACGAAAACGTCTGAGAATGGGAGCATATTTTTTGCCTAAGTTCGTAAAGTTAAAGAAAGAGTTTTTTTGCAAATGTGGTCGTCAGAATATATATTTCTTTTGTGATATTTGCTAAAATAAAAATATTGTCTAAATAGCGGACATATACTTTAGGTTTACAGAGCTTTTTAAATATGTTTTCTACATGGGACATGTAATAATTGGAGAAGCACGGGCCGAGATACTACATGCCTATCCAGACGACTTACGTTACACATATCCGGCCATAGCTTATCAAAAAAAAAAAAAAAAAGATAATAATAATAGTAAAAAAATAATAAAAAGCTTAATCGCAGTATCTTGTCTATTGTCTTTAATGAAACATATATATATATATATATATATATATATATATATATATATATATATATATATACACGTAAATTAATCACAGTATTTCTAAGTAGCGAAGTAGCACGGTAACGATTTTTTCCTTAGAATTTTTCAGTTGTTCTAATGATGGCCTTACAAATTTTACACATTTTAAACATCTAACTGGTTTTCCTAAATTCCACCTTACATACTTTTATTACATACTTTTTTATTACTTGACCTCACGGCTTAAAGCACGTCAGATCTAATGACGTTTTCCTGGTTCGAGTTCTGCTATTTTTCACTAATAAGATTTCTTTAATGTTAAGGCCAGTAGACGAAAATAAATAAATAAATATACTGTTTAATAAATAAACGGAGCGATTGCTCAAATACGATTATACACTGAAAATAACATTAAGTAATAAAAATCAGTCTGGTCAGTTTGATTAATAAATGAAAAATCCATCCCTTTCTTTATACACGCACACGCACACAAACATACACACACACAAACACACACACACAAACAAACATACACACACACATATATATATATACAGTTATAAGAACAAGCCCCAGAAAAAATGTTGTAAAAACAAAAATGTCTAAAATAAGGTTAGAAATAAATCTGTAAGTGTTGTAGAAAAATAGATCACAAGAAATAAGAGAATTTTCAACCAATTACTGTTGAATTGAATAAATTAAATAATATTTGAAGTTCTATCCATTTAAACACACCACAAAACTCTGCAACAGGTCATGGTCAGTCAAGTAGAAATGTAATCTCACCTACACAAATCAATGCCATGCGATTTCTTTTACGCCAAAGAGTTAAGTGAAGTGGCCAGGGACTGAAAAAACTCATTAACAACTGTAAGTACATGCCAGCTTCGCTAAGTCAGTACCTTTGTACTTCCTGTAAATTGCAAATAATGACTTACTAAATGTTTGAACTTTCTCTGCATAAGAAAAAAATACCAATTTAAATAAATATTTAACATAATAAGATTGTTTACTCTGAAAATATACATCCACAGTAGCCAAATTACACTTTTATATATGTGAAGATAATGAAACAGAGAGGCAAGTCTATTCAGGCATTGCATTTTGCCTCTTTATAGCAGGCATCTTCATGTTGGAATGGGAGCTAAATAAATCCGTGTGTAAGGAAAGTGCGTTGGAAGTTTTGTGGAAGGGTTAATAAATAACCTTATCAGATGCTACGACGAGAAAGTTTTTTTTCCCCGTATTGTAGCCGTTAACGTCTACTGAATTTGTAATTAGCTCATCTCTGTATTTTTCTCTCTTAGCTTGTATACCGTATTGTGCTACTATTGCGTTTGCGATGATCGGTGATACTGTATATGAACCCGGTCTGAGACTGACCGTAGAAAATTGTGAGATCAGTACACTTTCAATTTATTTTTTTCTTAGTGAATTCCTTTCTCTTCTGATTAGACTTGCTTTTATTAGGTCGAAATTGGTGGTCAGGTGTGTTACGGTGAATTACCAATTGGTTTAAAATGTTGTTATGCAACACATCCACGTGATGCTCATATATTTTTACATCCATCCATCCATCTATCTATCTATCTATCTATCTATCTATCTATCTATCTATCCATCCATCTATCTATCTATCTATCTATCTATCTATCTATCTATATAAACTTGCAAAAATGTAAATAAACTGTTTTTTTTTACTACATCTATTGGAAGTTTATATACTATTTTAATTGTGACTAATAAAGTAGTAGGCAAGCGTTTAATTTTAAAAGGGTTCATTTTGGCATGCAAAAGTACTTTCTGTATCGCCATTTGTGATCCTTGAAAGTCTCTGGATTTTGCTGTGAAATTAAGATGGAAGGAGAAGAAAAGAAACACAGGAAAAGAAAAAGAAAAAAAAAACAAAACGAAAAGTGATGAAAGGGAAAGAAAAGCATAGGAAGGTAACGAAAGAAGAGAAAAGAAGGCAACGGTAGAAGAAGAATCCCAGAAAAAAAAAGGAAGAAAAATAAAACAAAGAGAGAAAATAAAGAAAAAAGGAAAGAAAGAAGTTCATACGCGTGAATGCAAGAAAGAAAAAGACAGAAACGAGAAAGAGTGCATTACTAAACGTTACACACTAACGGGAAATTGAATTCAATGGAAACGTGAAAGAACTAATGACATTTTGATTAAGATAAGCGTAATTTGCCTTTTTTTTTTTTTTTAAATCAAAATAAGGAGACTCATCAGGAGTTGTTAACTTGTGTCTATTCGTCAGTGTGTGTATAAATACGCATAATTCAATGCGAACGTATTTGGAGGAAAGCAAGAGAACTCGAGTGAGTGAATGAATGATGATAAAAGCGAGAGAAAAAGAGAAAAAAGCTAGTGATGGTTATTGCTAGTAATTAGCCTTCCTTTTCATCAAAAAAATTCCACATTTGTGATTCACGCTCTCTTTAGAAAAGAAAGGAATAATGTTGATGACTTGCTTAATCTCCCTTTGTAATCATTGTTTTATCTTCGGCGATTCCCAAACATTAATATACAAAGTATTCTCCTGTACCACAGTAGAGCTTCTTAAGGAAAACTATAAGTTTAAATCCACTACCCACTAATTTTTTTTTAAAGTCATGTTTTACGAAAGATTGTTTTTTCTCATCCGTGTATTTTATAAGATCGACTATGATTAAATATAAAAGTAGTTTAATTTTTGCCGAGGATACATTTTGTAGAGTTGGTGCCTTTGATAATGTATTTTTTTAAAAAAAGAGTTAGACTAGAGTTTAATACAGTCATTTCTCACTTAGTGCCTTACCTGTTAATGACCCCAGACTTACGATCAATTATAAAATCTTATAAAATAAAAGATTAAAAAAAAAGAAGAAAATATTAGCCAGTATTCTACAGGTAAAGCTAAAATACATGGACTTTTCTTGAATCAAAATGATGTAAAAACTAAAATAAATAAATTTGTACTTTAATTTCAGTATACAAACCGAAGTAATGTACAGAATATAGAGTTGATTTTATTAATGTGATAAAAACGGACATATTAAAATTGTATATAAAAAATAACAATAAATAGAGCGAAAGAAAAGCAAAGATAATAAAATAGATTAAATAAATCGCTGATTTATTTTAAGAGTCGATTTTCGAATTTGTTTATTACATTTTTGTTGTTCATTATCCTATTGCATTTCATAATCAGGGATAATTTAGAAATGTTATAAAATGTGCAAAAGTTTGGTAAAAAAAAATTAAAGATTAAAAGTAATATTAAAGCTATCTGAATCTGGTTGACACAAAGCCACAATTCACCGACTGGTTTGATTTTTTTTATTTTATCTTTTATTTTATTTTATTTATTTTATGAGATTTTCTAGTTAGTCGTAAGTCGTAAGTCCGGAGATTTGTTAGTTGAGGATTGGTCGTATTTAACGCTTTTATCCACAACAAAAAGCAAACAGCATTTATCTTTAACTTTAAGCTTAGTCGATCTTGTAGAATGAACACTGAAACCCGAAGGCGCGTTGGAATAGCAAAGGAAAAAAAGGGAAGCTAAGTAAAGTATTAAGAAACAGGAAAATTTCATTAGAAACAAATGCTACTACATAATATCAGTCCTCCTGTATATTAGTGAATACTGGACAATCTCCTCATAGACAAAGGAGAAACTTGAGGCAACAGAAATGTGGTACTACAGAAGGATGTCGAGAATACCATGAAAGAAACATGTAAGCAACTAAGAAAGTTTAAAGAAAATGGAAACTGAAAAAAAAACACAAAAAAACATTATACATAGAATCAGAAAGAGACAGTCGAGATTTGTCGAACACATAATTAGGAAAGAAGGATTGGAGAATTTGACACTCAGAGGACATATTGAGAGACACAGAGGAAAACAGCGCATAACATACCTAACGAGCTTGTGTAAATGGATGGAAAAAAAAGGGTTGATGAGAGATGACAAAAAGAGAACATTTACTAAGAGCTACAAAGAACAGGAAATTTTCAAGATATTTAAATTGTTGTATTCGTTTGATTTTGGTATCTCCAATTTGTAATTTGCATGTTGGGCTGTTCCTTTTGGTGACAACAATGCATTCTGTCGTCTTGCAATTGATGTTTATTCCTTTCTTCTGGCTCTCCTTGACGACCTTGTGTAGGAGTTCTTGTAATTTCCTTTCTGCGTTTGCTATAAATACTCATTTGCATATATTATGTTGTTAATATTATGTCCGTCAGTAATGAATAGAACTTCTAATTCTCCCAGGATCGCCTCACGGTAAATAGGTTGAATAAGTCAAGTGAAAAGACACGTTTATTTAAATTCCTTTCTATTTTTGTTTATTTACTGAATTCATTTACTGAAATGGCGAATAACGATTGGTTGGAAAACATTTAGCGAAACTAGAAGCATAATGAAAAGTACCTTGCCAATCTGCTTGAAACTAAAATCTATAATAAATGTATAATATCAATATTGATGTACGAGTGAGAAGTGTGAATCCTTTGAACAGAATCGCATTTAGTTCAAGGAAAATATTTATGCTAAGAAAGAAAGAGATCAACACAGATCCAAGAAGAGAAAATATAGAAGTGATTAAGCAACCAAAAGGCACATAATAATAAGATGAGCGGTTATAGAAAAAGGTTGGCTGAATGACTCCCAAATGATAAGAAATATAGTAATGCAAAGCCAAATAGAAAACAAATGAGATAAATGGGTGTGTCGATTAAAAAAATGGCAGAGGTTAACATAGATACAGACGTCATGGAAATAGTTGAAAAAGGCTTTTCTCCAGCAATAGATTCATAAGAGCAGCTCTTGCTCCGGGTTTGAACGGTGATAAGGAAATGGTGCTAGCTTAGTTTTGGAGGTATTGAATGCTACATACTAATTTTTACCCCAACGAAGCTGTAAGAGCTAAATTAGAGGAGAGATCCGCTGTACAATCTTGATTTTTGGGAGGTGATTCCGTAAACTGCTGTATTATCTGCATAGATTCTTTTAATCAATTCCCTCTATTCAAGGCGATAATGCCATTAGGACGCAAAGGGGGCTACTGGAAGTGAACGAGAAGGAAAAAAAACTTTAGAAGGAACCGGAAACCCATTAATACTATAAATTTCAGAGTTTAGACGGAAACGTCAGAACTATAGAGTTGAAGGAGGATTTAGAAGGAAGCGGAAACCCAATTCTAATCAGGAAACAAGGGATAAACCTCTACTCCTGTTTAAAAGCCCAGGGAGGAGTGTGAACTAATGATCTGAGGATGTTCCTAGGCAGATCGTTAATAAAAATTAGATCGTTGATTTCATGGAAATAGTAAGCCAGTACGACTAGAAGTGTAATTATGTTTTCGGATAGTATTTTAGGTAGTAAAATTTTCGTTCCACTCTGAGTTGATAATGGTGTCAAAATGAATGCAGAGGCTTAATATAATTTCTTGGACGAGATGTTCTTTGTGTGGCACAGGTCACACCCAAGAAGTTTTATGTTAAAAAGTATATTCATGCAAGATAATGCACCTATATATTCTGTAGAGTGGACTATTGCACTTTTTAACATTTTCAAAGACTCTAAATTAATATAATGGCTCCAGCCTCTATTGATATTAACCAAACAGGAAACTTGTGGCCTATTATTAAAAGAGATTTTGAAGCAAAGACGATCTGTAAGAACCGATAAAAACTGCTGCAAATAATGTGAAAAACGAAGGAATAGCAAAGTTAACACAATGAATGTTTGAAAGATTTGATGAGCCTTAGAGAATGCCAAAAAACCATATTAATATGAAAATAATACATTAATTTCTTTAGGTTTTATGGCATACTGTATTAACCAAACATACATTTTAAAAGAAATAATTTCATTCCAAGCAATCCACTAAGAAGTAAGGAGTTATTGAGTGTGAAAGAATACGAGAAAAAGAAAACATTATTAAGGCGAGAGAACAATAAAAGAACCGGAATCAGAAGACAACGATTGGCACTGCATTTAAATTTTTGAAGTTGACTGGAAAACAAGAAGCCAGAAGAGAGCTGCACAAACGAGAAGTGCGAGAAAAGAAACTGTTTGCATAGAACTTACGGTTACATCTAGCTACCATTTCAAATGTAAAAGGATGAGACCTAGCTGTTAATCTAGTAGGGCGCTTAAATTGGTCAAGTCGAGGGAGGTACCAAAGAGGAAGGCTCATCAGAACAATCACTATGAAAATATTCATAGAAAAGACACAGGTAGGCTACGTTACGGCGGTGGAAAAGTGAAATTTTCTATTACTTATTTCTTTTGTTCTTTTTGAGGTAGACAGACCCGACCCGGTTTATGCGGGGTCTACGAGGAATTTTTGGCCGAGCCTACGGGCTCGGATTGCCACACATTAAATTTGGCCTTGTACCACATCCTACCACCTGGGAAAGTCGGTAAATATTACTTATTTCTTTTGTTGTTCTATTTATTTATAAATAAAACTTCCTTTCGCACTTTGCATAATGAAACGTGACAGTTTGAAAACAATGTATCGATATTTTTTTAATAAGGATCGATATTATAAACTCAGATACATGTGCTATAATTGCTTATATAAATATTTTTTATCAATATCGATTGGTTAATACCAATTTTCTTGTGAAAACATCGACATGCATAATAAATGACATATACTTAAAGATATATCTTCATTC